GGCTGTGGTTCTACTGTTTGCATCCCTGACCTGCTCTCTGGTCATTCGGGAACTAGATGGACCAGTACAAACCCAGTGATATCAGAGAAACAAATATCTTCTATCTACTTATTTTTTAATGTTTATTTGTTTTTGAGAGACAGAGTACAAGCAGGGGAGAGGCAGAAAAAGAGACACAGAATCCGAAGCAGGCTCCAGGCTCTGAGCTGTCAGCACAGAGCCCAACGTGCAGCTCAGACCCACAAACCACAAAATTGTGACCTGAGCTGAAGTCAGACGCTTAACTGATTGAGTCACCCAGGCACCCCTACTTAATTATTTTCTGAAAGAGTAACACCCAAGGCCAACAACAGATACCTGGCATCACATATGGGACACTTTATCATTATATGCAAAAACAAGACAGATTAGACACTATTCTCGAGTATAAACAAATCCAAGCCATTCTTAGTTCTTAGGTGTGATGGAAGCGAATATTCACCTACTCGGGCTTTGTGAGGTAGCAGCATTGCCGTAAAAGACTGTTTACCATTGTGCCTCGTGCAATAGGAAAGCGGACTACGTCTTCTTCCCCCAGGAAATGAAAAAGTACTTCAGTCTGTAATTCCTTAGCTTTAACATATTCATCCCAACAGTTACCAAGATGTCAACAAGATTATAAATGTGTAACCCGGAGACTGTAATCTTCTAAAAATGGAACTAATGTGCAAATATATCCCTATTAACTCGTATGCAGGTGAAAAGGACAGACACTCCATTAGGAGGAATATCTTTTTTTTTTTTTTTAATGTTTATTTATTTTGGGTAGGGGGAGGGACAGCGAGAGAGAGAGAGAATCCCAAGCAGGCTCCATGCGGTCAGTACAGAGCCTAACGAAGGGCTCGAACTCATGAACCGTGAGACCATAACCTGAGCCGAAATCAGCAAATATTATTAATTATTAGCATTGTTTTCTAAAGTCTCTTTGCTATTTGAAATTGATATGTATAAAGTCTGTTACAGCTATTACTAAGATCTAATTTTCTTCCAGTTATGTTGAGATATAATCGATATGTAACATTGTATAAGTTTAAGGTATACAGTGTAATGATGAGACACAGATGTGTGTATATACACATATATGTCTACACAAGTTTCGAAATGATTACCATAGTAAGGTTAGTTAACACACCCATCACCTCACACAGTTACAATTTTTTATGGTGAGGACAATATCTGATTTTTATGTTTTCTCCTACAAAATATTCAGGAGAAATACACGGAAAGATTTATGGGGACAACGGCTAACAAAGCAGATGACTAACTCTAAATCCTTCAGGGCACAGGCATCTGGGACGGCAAATTCTAACATCTGCACAATGCTGATCCTTTTTCTAAAAAGTACATTCCTTTTTTTCTTGCCCTGTTTCCACATTCTCATTACCGCTACAGGGAAAGGCCCAAGAGGAGAAAATCCGTCCCTGGCTTTTCTAACAATGAAAACTTATCAGAGAAGGCAGGCGTGAATAGGAGAATAACAGCTCCGTGATATTTTCGGCACTGTAATTTTACACTCTTCGTGGGAGCTCCCCACTCAACACCGCCAGAGTGCCCTGCCCACCCCGTTTTTTAAATCAGTGCTTCCCTGCCTCCCACAATTATTCATGCAGCCCTGCTGAATAATTCGTCTTCCCTCTGCCTGGCATAACAACAAAGCTCAGAAGCAGGAAGAACGCCACTTAAAGGCAGGTCAGACAATGATGTAATGAACAGATCAAGGAGACGTGTTATTTCAGAAAGCCCCATACAGAAAGAAAGAGATGGGCTGACTTCTTGGGTCGTGACATTACCAGGAAACTACAGTTGCTAAGGCACACATAGCTAAATCAAAATGTTTGCTCCAAATGGATACAAACATGTATCTGTATTACCCTCTCTTCTGAATGTCAGAAGTTTCCTATAGAAACTTTAATTAGAAACAAATTTAAAAGCAGCTTGGGAGAGGACTCCCTTCCATCCCACACTAAGCAAGGTGCAGCAGGTATGTTTTCATTCGCCTTTGCCAAATCCTTTTCTCAAAAACCCAGTAATGTAGGAAACAAAGTCAACCCCACAAAGAACTGAATTCTGAATTCCACACGTTAGGTGCTAGTGATGTAAAGGTGACCGAACCCAGACTCCACTTACAAGGAGTAAGCTTGTTGAGGAGGTTGTCAACAGATAATGTTCTATAATGATAACAGAGGACAATTTGTGGGTTTCTATGAAGCTTTGACCACAAGTCCAGCAAAGAGACAAATGAGAGATGATGTGTTCTTTCTTCCCCCAAAGACAAAGAACCAGTTGAGTAAAAGTCTGACCCTCAAACTCATGACTGCAGAGGAGATGGGAACCAAGGAGACACGGGTTTAAGAGTATGTTCTTTAACAGATGCTACAAAAGCCATGTGATCAGCAGTATCCCCAGCTGTGAACAAGAGAAGTATTTTGCACTTAGGTTGTTGTGATTTCAGTTCAAGGAAAGAGGTCTCCTCATAAACGAGAAGTTTCTCATTCCGTGTTGCAAAAACGTTGGCCGCTTTTGCTTTCTTTAATGTATAGCCTCCCGTGTCTTAATAACCATTGAAATGCGATGTGCTGGGTTTAGAAATATGCATCGACCTAGCAAAAGCAAATGCCAAAGTTAATAAAAATAGAACATTAGTACAGACCTCCTGCCTGTACCTAAAGGTGAAAAAGCAAATTAAAAATTAAATAATTAAATTAACTTTGGTGAGGTTATGCCTCTTCAGGTTACTTAACACTCAGATGACATATGGGAAACATTACCAAAAAAAAAAAAAAAAAAAAAAAAAAAAAGTCAAGATGACAAACATCTAACATACTCGGGTAAAACAACATGACTGAATAGAAGCTTCCAGAAATTAAAGCAGGCATCCCTGGAAAACAGTCCCAGCACTCAGGACTAATGACTGCAGATGCCTACTCCCCAAAGCTCAAAGTGGAAAGGAGGATTTGTGTGGCATTTTGGCTCCTTTCCCATATCCAAAATAATCAGTTGCACAAAGTAGGTTTAGTCCCAAAACTGTCTGGACTTTGTTCCTTCACCAACATCTGGGTTCAGCATGATTCCTGACCTCTACCTCAAACTGGTGATTTCAAACACGAAGAACCTCACTGAACAAGAAAGTAATGTCATAAGTCAAGGCCACGGGAAACACAGAAGCCAGAATTAGCAGAAACACCACGGAGCAATGATTCTGAGGTCCTTATAAATGCTCCTAAATACTTAACACATTAAACCTGCTTCTCAAAATCGAAAATTTAAATTTACCTTCTCAGATTAAAAGTACTCATCTTCTTGAAGAGAAAGGTAGTTTTCAGGAAGCTAAGTGGTCTTATATAGATAAAACAAGCTTTTTTTCCTCTTTCTTTCTAGATAAAGGATAATTTTTCTCTCTGCTGTCAAGTTTGGCTCAGAAAACCTGGTTCACAATCTGGGAGACCCAAAAACTAATTATTAAAAAAAAAAAAAAAGACGTGTCTTAAACTGACCTACTTTGAAAGCCTGGATGCCTTTAAATTGCCAATGAACTAAAGCCATTCATGAGAATGGAGCTTTTGAATGCTGAGAATGTTCTGTGGGGCTCAGTGCAAAGATATTTGGCACAGACGACTATAAATATTTGTAAAACTCTGGGTAAATGGACAGTGCTTGACCACACTCACACCTCACCTCCAGCACAGTAGTGTAGGAGCAAGTTATCTAGGGTAATTGGTTTGGGGGCTTGGGGGGTTATGTTTTCTCCTGTTTGTTTTAAATAAAAAGTTCAAGCAGCCCGATTCCGCGACTTGACATCTGTTTTACACTTACATTCTCTATATACATGTATACATTGTTTACTCATCACGACAGTTTCAATTCATCAGAGGCTACTTTAGAAACAGAAGGGTTCTTCTCTTTCCTATTTCTCCAAGTGTGTGCCCACCACAAGGGAAAAAAAGACCAGTCACAGGTGTGCAAGGGTAAAACAGGAGGGCTGTGAAAACGTGGCCTTGGGTTTAATACAATTATCCCAATGGGGCCCATGGTTCTGCTACATCTATCTTTCTTGCCCCCTCCCCCTCCTCAAGATCATTTCAGAAATAGTTACGGGGCTGCTACTTAGGAAAAGGACTAGGGCTGGGAAGAGGGGACAGGGTCAGCAGATGGAGGGAACAGAGCAGTGAGATCTGAAAGGGACCAGGGACCCGGAGGCTCATCTCAGTGCACACTGCAGCAGCCAGATACTTTAATTAGCCAGCAACTCTGTGAAGGCTGGCTGGGTTCCTTTTTCCTCTTACCCACACCCTAAAAACTGAGTCATCTCAAAGTTCATTTATTTTGCTTCTGGGCCTAGACCCCCCCCCCCCCCCCCCCCCCCCTCCCGCCCCATCTGCTGTTTCATAAATGTGAGATACATTCTTCTTTAATTCAGACCTTGCAGACTTCAAACAAACATCCAGAAATGCCACCTTAGAACACTGATAGTCCTATGGGGACTCCCAGCTAACGTCTAATCAGATACCTGCAGCAGAAAGAAATAAGAAAGTGACCCACGGTAGTGAGAGCATGAAGACAGAGGACATTTTCCCAGACAGGCAAATGCATTTCTGAGAAATCTGAAGGTAAGACGTGCATGCATCAGGAGTAGACTCACAGCAGGACCCCCCAAAGTCACAAGGAAAACAAAAGGTGCCCCGAGGGGAGAAAGCTCAAGATCCCTTTTCGCTGCTGAGACAGGAATCCCTTTCATTTTAACCTAACACTTGGGAACGGCAATACAGGATCCGAGTTTCACTCCGTCTCATCAGCAACTGCCTGACAAAATAATCGCTATAACGTACGGCCAAGATCCCATCTCATTCCCATCTACGCGTGTCAACACCGTGCTGTGTGCGTTTCCAAACAACGGAAGGTCAACCTCGGAGATGATGCCAACTTCTGGTCTCCCCTTAAGAAAGACACCGGGGAGGTCTGACCTAATCTTGCATTTGCCAATCGGTACATTTCGCAGAGGCCGTTTTACTGGAAACGACACCGGTTTCTCTTCGACCTTTTCCAGGGGCGTCTATTTTCCAAAGTTAACAGGTGTCTCAGGCGTTCGGAAGGAATCCCACTCCGTGCGCTGTTAAGCAGAGGAGGCAGAAAAGAAAGCTACAGACCATGGAGTCCGGGTCTCTCCGTCCTCGCTCGCCCGCCCGCCCGCGGCGGCTCAAGCGCTCGGCGACACCTACCTGGCGGGAGGGCTCGGTTCCTCCGGGCGCCGCCGGGGCTTCTCAGCAGCCTGGCCCGCGCGCCCCGGGGAGGCGGAGCCGGCTCATTCCCTCCGCGGTCCTCCGGGCTCCGCGGCCCCAGCTCTGCACCCCG